GTCGCGTATGTATCTTGAAACAAGATAAAAATTACAAAAGTGAGGAACGTCACTTATAGAGTATCTACTTTGTTGAAATCTGGCAAATATGTTCAAATTTGTACGTTTGTACCTCATTTCAAGATACATACGTAAGCCCCAGGACTGGATCTTAGTTGCCTACGAATATGATTAATTACTTTTCAACGTCACACGAATATTCGTAGGCAACCAAGATCCAGTCCTGACCGTTTAACAGCTTTTTCTTTAGTTTGATAACATTAACTATATTGACATTACCTCGTATAATAAACTCTGTCGACATTATCTAACAATAGATTGTTAGCAAAAATCAAGTTAACGCTGCCTTCATGTTCTATTAGCGGATTCTGTTATATATTTATATCGATACTCTGCTAACAAACGTCGTAACACATACTTTGCAAAATCTATTTTCGACAGAGTTGATTATTTAGGCAGTTTTTTTTCTTACTTTTATACTTCAAGCTCGATTTCTTTTTTATTTACTATGTGACTACGTTCTTACGTGGTGTCTAGATATCGGGGTTTAGACGTCTATCAAGTTCTTTAGTTACATGCGTTAAAAAATAAAAATCATGTGAAAAACCTTAGAATAGATAACGTAATCACGTGAGAAATACACAAAGAAAAAAAATTATTGTTTTTATCGCATGTAAATCTGCCGTATAAGCTTATAATGACCTCAGATTGAATTTATATTTGTCTACTTTAAACTAATTTAAATTTTGCAAAATACAACATGGTTCTCATACTAACGTACGTTTATTTACTTGTTTTGTCTATATATAAAAAAATGTTGAATATAGAACCATTAGTTAAAACGTTATAACTTTGTACGTAATCCTAATATTTTTCTATTATTTATTATCTACATGTTCTACATTTGTAACGATATACGTACCGATGAACGGATATATCAGTTCTCGTCTCTGCTGGTGCTATTTTGCAAACATGACAAAATCCAACCATTTTCGTTGAGAGTATGTTTCAAAATGTACAACAACTATTTTTTCCACAGATTAACGTAGTAGTTTAATCCCACACTTCAAGGTTATTTATGTAGCATAGTATATCATGCAATGACTTTTCTTTTTGAAAATTCCATCAGACGGTGTGAACAGTTAAGTTATTGCCTTCTTATTCTTGTTCTTAATATATATTCTTTGAGAACTGTTATTCTAGTATCCTCTGAATAACTAATATCGAAAGTTTATTGTGTCAATGATTTAATCCATTCCATATTCTTCACGTCATAATCTCACTGTTTTAACTTTTATCCTCTTATCAAGACATGCAGGACGTATTTTAATCAATTTTCATATTTCTCACAATCAGTCCACAATCTCAATCTTTTAACTCTTCTATATAACGGTTATGACTACATTACATTTACACTGATCACCATCGAGTCCTATACTGACCGCATTAGACCCGGACCGGACGGACCCAGGTTAAAGGTTATGATGGCCCACAGGACGCGGAAACGCTTGCCGCGCGGCAAGAAGCGACGCGGAACCAATCAACGTGTCGTTTTTCCATAAGAACCAGGGGGTCAATCACGAATCTTCTCCCCTAGGGTGGAAACGTGAAAAATGAAAAATATCTCTTTCTATTGATGTTAAATAGAAAGAGATAGTCATATAAAACTTTTCACTTTCCACGTTTCACATTGGCCGCGTTCAGCAGACACAACTGTTGCGTTTGTCTTATCAACACTATGTGTTGATTGGTTGGTTCTAAAAGTAAGAGCCAATCACGTTTGACTGCTACTGAGCGGCTTGGTCTGCTGAACGCGCCCATTGATCACCCTCCTCGCGCTTGAAGAATAATCGAGTGTGATTGGTCTATTTTCTTACGGCTTTATGATTAAAACTAAACTTTGTTACGTGCAATGGCCTTTAGTAGGATTGACCAATAGAAATTAATCCACCCTGCTTTCTATTATATCAACTAGGTAGTACGCTTATATATAGACACAGCCCGCTTAATTCATATCGTTGTGTATGAACTTGGAGCGAGACATGACCATATCTCTTTTAAGTATAATATATAAACGTGTTTTTCCTATTTTCCTTCTTGTGCTTCAATATGAGTACGTTTATTATTTGAACCATCTACTGTTTAACTTGACATTAGTAAAAAGTTGATATTATTATTTCTATTATTTCTAATCTAGCCTCCATCATAATCTTATAACTAACGTCTACAGAGAATTCGATTATCTTTTAAGAATATTTAATTCCACAGAAACATTAGTAGTAGGCTGATCATGACGCATGAAAAAAAGAAATGTTGAGGCAGCATTCCAGATCCAGGCGTTGCCGAATTGCAATAGTCAGTCAAACAGGAACAAACTTCTTGTCTACCACCAAAGCCACTTCGTTGATAGCACTTGCCTTTATAATTTGACTCATCCCATCCACATCCTCGAATAACTCGCGTATCAGGTGGTACTGTGTAAAAAATATTACGTTGTTTTATCCTAAATATTACGTTGTTTTATGTTAAATGTAACGTCTTATGACACGTGAACTAGTAAATGAAAACATTTTTACAGTGTTACAAACGTTTCGTGAGTTTTATGTAAACGTATTTTTGTATAACGCTGCTTCTTTTAACTACATATTTTGATAAGATGTATTGATTTCTTTAAATATAAGAATAAATCATGACTAAACTTTTATATAAATAATTCAAGTATATTCGTTACATTTCTTTATAATTTATTTAATGCTATATACTTGATAAATAAATTATTTTACAAGTACATAATGTTAATGTAATATTAATATACGTACAGCCATTGACGCTAAACTCGATGACTTGTGTAATTTTTCGGCACATTGTATACTTTGCACCATCTTTAAGATCCGAACAATCTATCTTCATGGTATCAGGAGGAACAAGATCGGCACATTGGCTATTATTGCGGCTGTTACATTGATAACATTGCATAGCATTGACACCTGTAAAACATACGTATTTGTATCTTTCTTCTCCATCGCGCACGCAAACGCATCCACATCGGCAAGCATGTACATATATATTATTGTATGTGACGTTCGATTTACCCGTGCTCCGTGAACGGAAGTTTTAAATTTCATATCAGTTCCAAAATACACTTGTATTAAATATTTAATATTTAATACAAGTGTATCATGGACGTGTATTAAATATTAAATATTTAATACAAGTACGTAAATATTACAGTACGTAAATAATCAAGTAACTTGATTGCAGTTTATACGTATTAGATTGATTATTTCCGAAAAGTTTTTGTACCTACACGCAAATACATATATACTATACATAAAACAATGTTTGATTGCATGCGTACACAATAATGATGGAAAGTTGGATTTTTTTTATTATACACGAATAAAATTTGATACTGTAAAGAACGTGGATTTAATATTTAAAAAAAAATCACGAGGAAAGGAAATAAATAATAATAATTAAATCCACAATCTTCTGATTTAGTTTGCCTACACGATGTTATAAAATTACGCTCAACAGTTCGTATCATGCGACAATAAGGTTAAAGATCATAACCGAAAGAAGATAACCGCGGACACATAAACGACATTAATTTTATTCCGGTTCTCTATACATGATACATATTATACTGTAATCTGCATAATACGTACCTACGCATTTATATACGCGCGTATGTCTCAACGTATGAAAATACGTCATACGTTTTAAGTAATTATTTATATGCGGTATAAGATAATATTTAACACAAAATAGTACGTTTTTTTCAATAACTTTCACGTTTTTTATTTACGTACGCATAATTTATACGTATTAATATTATGTAAAATAAAAATATATTATGTAAAACAAAAAATTATATTTGTTATAATATAAATATTATTATATATTTTAATATAAATATACGTACAATGTGAAAGTATAAAAATTATATAAACATTATTTTTAATACGTAATCATAAGTTATCGTATACATGCGTATGTACTTCATCGAAACCTCAATTATGCTACCCCGTAGAAAAATCAATACGGCCACACCAGCTATATGTGCCTTGAAAATATATATTCACATGATAAGACTGTCTGTACACTCTGATTTTATTTCTACTCCAAGTTGAAGCGTATTGAAGATGAAAAGAGTGTTAACAATGAGTTATTATTAAATAAATTTACGATGCAGTGTAAATAAAATTTATGTTTTCATTGTTCGCAAATATATAAACGTTTCTTTACGTATACATGTCTCCCACTTAAATCATTGACTTAACTAATAAATTTACAAATCTTGCAATAATTCTGTGATTAATACGTAATATCTGTTATTAAAAGCTTTGTATTGTGTTAATGCGGAACGTAATTAAAATTTGTTTAAATTTTGTATTTAAAGTTTTTCGCCAAACATTCCAGAAAAGCACGCGTGCACACGTCCTTTAAAATATATCTTTTTATACATTTCACAACTGTTATTATTGAACAAATATTTATACGTATTACATCACGTACACGTGTGTTGCAATTTTTAATTTTTTTCTGGTTTTAATTTTATTGCACTAAACAGAAAAATTATTATTAAATTCTACATGGTATATTTTACACAAAAATTTTAGTACATATATATGCACCATTGTCGTTGGAATTATTCAAATATCCAATACTGATTTATTTTTCCTCGAGATATGTTTTATTAAACATTAAAATATAAAAAAACACATTTTTTATACATGTTCACGTTTAATTAATGGAATTTATCAAGGGGTAAAATGCTCCTTAAAAGTTTTACAGTTAAAATTTTTTTTTAGCATTAGCCCTATTGCGTTAAAAAAGTTTCAACGTAAAATATTTTTGAACGTTACTTTTTATCATAAAATTAAATAGTAATAATAGTTTTATAACAATAGGTGGCGAGCATTTTATTGGAAAAAAAATTATTATTGTTTATTATTGTTGATTAATATTTTATGATAAAAACGAAATAACCTTAAACTCTGAAATATTTTTCGACGTAGTACATACGTTCTTTTGCTGGAGATATTGAAAAAAGATTTTAGTTATAAAAAGGAGTATTTTATTCCATAAAGAAAAAACAACGTGGTACCGCGGACACTTGGATAATGACGTACTACGAATATCTTCAAATACGTGGCAATACATCTAAAAAATCCAGACTAGAAAACTATTAAAAATCATTATATTTTCAAAAATATTCACATCACTTACCGTTGTAGCACAAAAACAAAATGATGCTGCATAGAGTAATAATTACAAATCTTAGTCTAAAGATTTTCTTCATCTTCCTTTTGCTTCTTCCTCTTAGAATGATTGACAAATAAATGGTCACTGAAAAGCTTCACTAATGACGAAATATTGCAGTGCTTGCAAGAAAGATACGTAAATATAGATATAAATATAAGAAAGTAGGAAAATAAACAAGGAAGTTGAAAAATAGGCACGGAAAAACAAAAAGAAAGAATGGAAAAAAGGGAAAGAGAGAAAAAAGGATCACGACGTGAAAGAATTGAAAAGTATCATTTGACTTAAAGAAATGAGAGAACACTCGTAATATACTGTGCGCTAGCGTGGCGCAAGCCCACTAACTCTAGCATCAGAGTCATACGGTGCCACTGAGCAATATACTGAACGAGCAAATGCGTACGCCTGAGAAAGGGAGAGTAAGGCGAACGATATTAATTGAGGTGGCTGTGGCGGTGGGAGAAGAACATGGCGAATAGACGACTCATCTACGAATAACTCCAAGACCGATCGATCTTCTTATCGCTGAACGAAATATGTTACTTACATTTGTATACTTACTATACTTGTCTATACTTGAACATACGGATCACTGTGAAAAAATTATCACAGCAACGTTGTGATTTTTTTTAAATTTAGGGTACTAAAAGGCACAAAATTTTAGTCATTAAAATTTTTTAAATTATTTTGCATAATTTTTTCTGAGGTTTAAATGAAAAAGAAAAAAATCACGACGTTTTACGTTATTTTCATCTATTTGTAACGTGTCTACGAGTTTAAAAAACACGCGGCCACAATACCATATCGTATTATAGAGCAAAGATTCTACTTTAAGAATCCATTTTTGGAATTCCTGCACGATAAATTTTAACGGTTATGAACGATTAACGTCAACATGTCTTCTTGTTCTTTCAGTTCTCGATAACTTGATAAGGAAGAATCGAAATCAAACGCTAACAAAAGCGTTTTGTAGACAAGACTTTCGGCTTCGACATGTTCAAACTAAAAATTTGCTTCAGATCCATTTTTTGTGCATGTGACATGCTCACAAAGTGATTTAAAAATTTCCCATTTCGTTGAGCTCGTTTTCTGTAAGTTAAACATACTATAATTGAAGAAAGTAAAAAACAGCTGCTCTATCTTTTAAAAGTAGATTTTAAACTTGAAAACACTTTTTTTAGATTTGGATTCTTATTTTTTAAAACAAACGTGTATAATAGCTGTTTAAACGTTGTTTATTTTTAAAATTTTTCTTGATCCCGCCTTAATTATTTAGCATACATATATGTATAATATACATATAACAAAGAGATAACCGCGCTTACCAGCCCCGCGAACGAGCAACAAGAATGTTAAAATTTAAAAATATATATTATTAACAATGTTAAGATGGGACGTGTTTCGGCGCAATACCCGGTGTCTTCATCAGCCTAATTACGTACATTAAATAAACGAATAATAATCAAGAATCATATACATTTCTACAACCAATCAAGAATGGTAATAATGTTATAAAGTCGCACGCGCTGTACAACGACGGTCTTTAGTCCGAAGATGAGTAAACGAGGCGTATCGTGATGTTGTTAAACGAAAAAACCGGACGCAAAGCGCCGTTTTAAAAAACTTGCTTAAAAGTCGAAAAGGGTCTATGCGATTTATTCCTCAGTCGACAATGGGGGAATGACGCGAGTCAGTCAGTGAAGTCTGCACACGTCACCATAAAGAGTCAACAGTTAAAAGTTAAAAAAAATGCGTCTGAGATGTAATAATGGGAATAAATGCAATGTGGAATCACGTTATAATGTTTTCAAGTACCGTAATGTAAAACACCGCTGTAAGATATAATAAATATAAGAATTTGTTACGATTATACGTACAGAGAATAATGTGGAGTCAAGCTGTAATGTTTTCAAGTACCGTACTGTTTCGAATCCTATATGTGACTGATCATTATTCCACTTGATTGACTCAATTTTTTCGCCATATCACGCGTATCGATATAAAAAAATGCATCACGATGAGATCAAGCGTGCGCGCGAGGTAATACGGCAAAAAGTGACAACACTTGTTACTAAAAAAAGACCTCTACATGTACACACAAACAATGTACATTCCATATATACACATACATATATCATGTGCAAAATCCGACCGAGCTACCTCCTCATCGTGGTGCACATCATCAGGTTACACAAATGCCGGCGATATTGTGCTGAAATCATAAAAAAATAGGGGTTACTTTAACGTGCGATATCTCGCTAAATACGCGGCGCGTAGGACAAAGTACTTTTTTTATTTGAAAAAGCAAAGTCTGTACTTTGAGATAGTATTAATAATTATGTTCGCCAATTTTTTTGTTAGGTGGTGAAAGATGCAAATTTTAAGATTTTAGATATCTCAAATACGTCCTTATTCAAAGCTTATCACGCCTTTGAGTATTAACCTGAGTAACGTAAAATTAAACAAAAGCACTTTATATAGTAGAGAGTTTGCTCTGTAAAACCTTTTTTTAAACTTTTTTTATACGTTAATTATTCGCTGAGTACGTATAATTTAAAAACGGCAAAATTTTGCTGACAAAAAGTGATTCCCTAATTTTCTTTAACAGTGTATATATATGATTGTTTTATATCTATACATACGTATAAAAATTGAAAATTTTTAAACATTTCATACTTTTGTTATAATTTTTTAATTATACGTAAATTATATTTTAATTGTATAATATAAAAATATTTTATATTTTTCTTGTAAACTTTGAGTACAGTTTCTCCGTTAATAACAACCGTTTTTTCTGGACGAACTGCAAAGGAGGATCAAATGTTTTACAAAGAACCACAGGCATGAATATATGGGTTAAATAAATAAGGCTGTGGATGATACGAGCACAGCTTTACGTTCAGATAGAGAGTAAAGTGGTGGTTTGGAGCACGTTGAGTGGATAATGTTCATCTTCCTGTGACACGCTCAACGTTACGAAACTATCACACGTCGTTACCTACTTGCGTATTTGCGCGTTACATATTTACACAAGTCCATTCAAGATTTTCTAATTCTCGCCTTGGATCTTTTATTTTCTGATGCACGCATTTATAACTTAGAACTAATAATATAGGGGAAGGTGCTGTATCTCGGAACACTTTTAAGTTTCTGATTTATTTGAGCCACAGTTTTAATTAAAAAATTTTGAAAAAAATATATTATTAAAGTACATATATGGTGGGTCCGTCTTTCGGAAAGAGACGTTAAGCCGTTGGTCCAAAGGGTTAAAGTTACGAGGAGAAAGGATAGTAGTGTAAAGGTTTGGGTAACATTCCTTATAAAAACGCCTTGCAAACCCTGCGGGGATAAGCAATGTTTGTTTACCTTACACGTATGTACTTTTTATCTTAATTAATAACTCCACAATTAACGTCAATCAACTCATTTCTCTTCTTTGAACGAGAAAATTATAAAAGTTAAACTTTTATTTCTTTTATATATTTATTACGTACCTCTGATATAAAACTATATGATACGTGTATTTTTTATCCAATACGTTCTATAATTTTATATTCACTATAATTTTTATATAAACAACAAAAAATTGTACGTCTTTTAAAAATTTAGAAATATGCGTATGTAAATAAGATAAGCTCTTATTTTATTGAAAAAAATGTAAATAGCCAACTATGACGTAATCCTTAAAAACGTATAATTATAACTGTACTCGCATGTTTGCTTTAAAATATTATATTGTTGCTTGTTAAGCGATTGCAAAGTATCATACCTATTTACACAAGTATGTATGTGCGAATTGATATTAAATAGATCTCTCATTGTAATCAATATTAACGTATTTAGCGTTTTAGCGAGCCGCTATTACCCTGGCATACTTTTAACATTTATAATCTATACTGTCAATATTTTGTTACTACAATCTATTTAAATATTTAAGATAAAGAAATTATATATATATATATATATATATATATATATATATATATATATATATATAAAACGTATAAAACGTATAAAGGGAGTTTAGAACTATTGTTTAAAATCTCGAACGAGCCGAGAACTTATCGCAGAAGCATAGCATATCACTCTAGTACGAGTGATATGCTGATAATACGTGTTAATAATTATTTAAAGGTAGCCAGTGGTCAGAACTGTACGGAACTATCGTCAGGGGGTTTAGAATTATTGTTTAAAATCTCAAATGAGCCGAGAACTTGTCGCAAAAGCATAGCATATCACTCTAGTACGAGTGATATGCTGACAATACGTGTTAATAATTATTTAGAGATAGTTAATGGTCAGAATTATGTTATAAAACTATAGAACTCGTCAAAAACTATAAAATTCATTGAAGTAAATTTCGAAATACTTTTATTTTATATGCTGACCACGGATACAACCGTGATGCTGACACGTGATATGCTAACTTCACATACATGTAAATCGGATCAATTTTTCTTTCTTGGTAAAAATTAAAGTAATCAACAACAAATTTTGTTACTTAATTTTATTATAGATTCTTAATTTTTATAACTTTAGCTTTCATATAATAAAATAATACATAAACATGATATTTCTTATTGCACAACAAAAAAATGAAAGGAAGAGAATTATCCGATTCACCTCGAAATTGGGGGCGAAGGGGATCACTAGTTTAGGTCTAAAAGAAATAAAAATAAATCAACAAATTCTTTAAAATAAATTACCTGCATTGAAAATAAAAATACTACTCTTTGAAAATTAACAAACCCAGCGAGAAATGATCCATCAAATCGACGTCTATCGATGTCAAAGAAAAGTTAGCTCTACGCAGGAAACTTGTCAAAAAATCGACGCAAAGTGCCTACTACTTTTCTCTGACTCCAACGAGTGTGTAGGCAGTTTTTTCAATATTATATATTAATAATAAATAATATTGTAATCAAGTATAATAATTAATATAAATAATGTATTTTTTATTATGTGGACAGATAGCCCCGCATATGGGGTTATATATATTATGTATATGTGTCCACATATTTATATTTATATATAGTATATGTATATAGACTCTTACGTACATATTCTTAAATAATAGTTTGTAAATATATTATTCCTATAAATTTGATAATCTATAAAATATTAAAAAATATTTCAATACAATATAATAAATAGGAACTTTGAAGGAAAATTTATTCCATGTTATAGCACGTTGCTGTTTGACATCATTTATTTTTGCATAAAGCATTCAAATACAAATTTATTTAAAAATAAGTTGTATAATTTCTTACACATACTTTTAAATTGAAATATTTCACGTATATAGCACAACTTATCAGACAGAATATATGCAATAATGTGAGAAATCACATTAAAAATTGTTGTTAAATCCCATTGCAAAATAACACTGGATATTACATAAAATACTTTAGCTTGCAAAAAATTATGTAAGATAATCAAAGCCAATATCAATGACTACATTTATTTTTATACAAATGCAGTTCAACTTACACTTTATTTCTATTTTGTTATATAGTATGATCAATACAAAAAGATTATAAATCTATTTCTTTGCAAATGATATTTTCATTGCATGTGAAGGTGTAATTTTGAAACCTTGAAGCGCATCCTTTGCCGCTCCAGATTGAACCTCATTTTCAAATTCAACAAATGCAATATCATGTCGGTTAGGTACTAACCGTACCTCTTTGAAGCCCGGAAATTGATTAAACAGCATTGATAACATCATTTCACTCGTCTCGTCAGGTAAATTTGTTAAGAACAATATCTGATTAGGTGGCTGTTCAGGAACAGCGGTATTAACAAGTCCTGGATGTGGGGGTACACTAGCATGGTAACCAATTTGTTGTGAATGTTTTGCTTGCTCTTTTGCACGTTTCTTGGCACGTTTGGCTTCTTCATCTGCCACTGGAATAACTCGTTTTGGTTTCTTTGGACGCTCTGCAAAGGTACCTTTCATTTTGGCAATTATATCGCTGTCAGTTTTAGCATATTGTATTCTCTGTAAAATCAAAGAATTTAAAAAATTGATTATTTTTACATCTTCGTACATTTATATGTATAAAATATATATTAAATATACATATAGATTAAATATACATTATATAAATATAAGATATATATCTTTAGGAGTGGTAAAAGCTATAGCGGTACAAGTCAAATTTTTAAAAATATTAACTTGTGTGCATAGATGCAATTTATATATTGTATAGATTGCATCTATGTAGACACGTGATATATAGGCTGCATTTCCTTTGACATTTTCAGTGCTATAAGCATCATTCTATCTTCGTTGCACATCAAATATCAAATAGACATGGAGCGCGGCTTTCAGCGCTGAAAGCGTCAAAAGGAACTCAGTTATAGAATACATATGTACATAGAAAAGTTTTAATAAAAACACCAAAATACAATATAAAGGCAAAATAATACAAATAAGACGTTCCAAGTTCTTACCATTGGTTTGTCATAGAATGGAAAGCCTTGCATCGATCTCAAGGCATTTGTAGCACTTGCTATTTCCTTGAAAATAACAAATGCCTGTCCACGCATCTTCAATGTTTTCAAAGCCACAATATCCAAAATTTGACCAAATTGAGAGAAAATAGCATACAATGATTTTTTTAATTCTTCTTTCTTAATCTTTTCATTTAAATTATTGATATAAATGGTATTATTTGGACGAATATCCATTTTCACTAAAAATTAATATCAGATGCTCTGTATTTTCTGTAAATAAAAATAATACATAAGATAAACGTTAAACTTAAATACTTAGTTTATAAAAATATAAATATGTATATGCGTGTGTATATATATATATATACACACACACAACAAATTACTAAATTATAATATATTACTAATATAACAAAATAAACATAATATATGCACGCTCACATGTTTGAATAATTGTATTAATTCTCTAAGCAGAAACTTAAACAAAACGATATATATGTTAGGTTACGTTACCCTAAAGGTTATGCGTCTATTAAACCATGGCGCTTAGGCCATATGACCATAAACATAGTGCATACATACATAAGGGCCACTTCGACCAAACCCAATCGTTGACTAGGGTTGCCAATATGCCAAAATGATTAGTGTGACCACAGTACGGTATAACCGCAATATATATAACCAGACCAATGAAATTAGCCGGACAAGTTCAACTTAACATTTTTTTTACGTTTATTAGTCGTTTGTAGGTAATTGTTAGGCTGAGTTTCCACTGAGCGCGTCACGC